TGGCTTGTGGAGAACAGACTGCAACTGCTGGTGGGCAAAGTTCTAAAACGTAAGCAGACAGCAAAGGGAAGGGAGACCATATAAGTGATCTGGTCTGCTACTTCTGCTCTGCAAATAAACTTGGTTTGATTTTTCATGCCTTATCTGTTCTAGGAGGCAAGGTAGCCACAATACCAAGTACACCTAATAATAGGTTTGTGGAACCTTCTGCATTTCATCTTTTTCAAGGTACCATTTCAGATAATTTGAAATTTGGGAGCATCCTCCCATTATGGACCGTTATGTGCAGGAATAACAATATAATTAATATATTTCATAGTTATACAGCTTGTATGGTTATAACATTTTTATTTTTAACTAAATGGTACTTCGAAAAAACAGTACATTTTAGTAAACACAAGTTTGTTATTTCTCATACCCTGAAAAACTAAAGCACTTTAAAAAGCATGAGCTTGGTTTTGCCTCCCTCCCATATGCAAGGCCCCAGAGAGCCAGTATGGTGTAGTGGATGCAAGACTGGAGTGGAGCCTAGGAGACTTGAGTTCAAATCTCCACTTAGCCATATGAACTCATTGAGGGATGATAAAGGTGAACGCTCCTCAAATACCTTGTTTATTTATTTATTTATTACATTTATAGCTCGCCCATCTAGTCATATGGATTACTCTGGGTGGGTAACAACATATATAACAAATTACAATTTAAAATCATAACAATTTCATATCTCAAAAACTCTATGATGTTTTCAGTATCTCTTTAGTAATGCAGGTTGGCTTATGTGGGCACCTATTAGTTGTTCCATCCAGACAATGGATAAGGCATGCTCTGGGTAAGACAATTCTTTCTATTAGACCCACTGCTGTTGGTTAGCTCCCTTGCTTGCTTTTCAGGGAGAGCAGTTTTTAATATCTCATTTCTGAAAGTAGCTAGGTTCTCAAAGTCTCTGGGCTCTGCTCCAGAATGTGTTGATGTAATAATAACATAGATCCCTTGCCAAAATGCCATTTGGGGTGTTGCTTTTTTAAAGTATCTGTTAAATACCTCATTAAGAGAGGCTTGCTGCAGGTTGACTGCTTCTTTTCCTTGATGGATTTGCAGACTGATACTTGCCAAGTATCATTTTACTTATGCATTGATATAAAAATGCCCTTTGAGAGGTTGTTAAGATCTGTTTCCAAAGACTTCAACTCAAGTAGTTAAGTAAAGTCTAACATTTGTGTTCTTTAACCTTCCATAAAATATTTCCTTTCTCCCTGGCTTCAAAAATGATTTCAGTCCCAACAGCTGTATTCTCCAGCTCCCACTGCTGCTTCCCCCCCCCCACAACTTCTACTAGTTCATAAACATTTGAGCTGTGATCAGGGCTGCCCAAGGCATTCTGGTGCCTGAGGCAGAGAGCACCCCACTCCCGCTCATGTCAAGATGTATAATACGCAAAGCCAGCCATATTATTTTGGCATCAACTTATTTGGTCAGAAAAATTTGCAAGGTGACTCACTGCTGACAGTAAACCTAAGTAATTAACAATCTGGTGCCCTTTCAAGACATTCGAAGTCTGCTGCCTCAGGTGGCAGCCATACTCCCCTGGCCCTCTGTGTAGCATTTGCAGAGGGCTGGAGAGGTTGCTGAAGGGGGGGAAGGGATTTTCCCTTCTGCTGGGCCAGCTTGTTTGCTTGAATCCAACCTTATGTACTAATGTAAAATGAGTGCTTATTAAATTCTGCAAGTATGTTGAGGGGTGTGGCAAATAATGAATGAAATAAGGTCATACAAACACCAAACCCATCCACTTCATGGACACCAAACCCCTAGATCAGTGGTTCCTAAATTGTGTGCTGCAGCCCCCTCGCATTTTTCACCCTAAACTTCCTCACCATCTTCCCTCTCCATTTCCTTGGCTAGCAGATCTCCCTGCATGGTATCTGGGATTGTGCCTAATGTCTGCCTATGCCCAGGTGTAGACGCCTGAGGAGAGCTGTGCCCCTGTTCCCAGATGCCCTCCTGCACAGGAGGAAAAGAGGCAGAGGCAGAGGGGAGGTTCTGGGATGGATCAAGGGAGCCACGCGCAGGAACAGTTTGGGAACCACTGCTCTAGATGATGGCTAAAAGCAATGAAAAGTTTTCTGCACACCCGTCAGGTTCTAAATATTAAACCCAAAGAGGCTAAACCTGTGGAGAACAAAAGCAGCCCGCCCTGCCAAATGGATGAATGCCAAAGAGTGTCTCCCACCAGGACAAGATTCTGACGGGATCACCTGGAAGTCACTTAATAGACTTTGAAGTGAAGTAGGAAGATCAAAGGATAATCAAGTAAAATGGCCCAACTTGGGTACAGGACAAATGTTCTTGAATATGAAGAAATTTAATCAATGCAGTATTTAGATGTACGCAATTTATTCCTCACTACGTGTATAAAAGAAGATATAGTAAACCACTGAGATAACACTATTGAATTAGCCTGCTTCTGGTCAAAAATAGTCTAACAATTTTAATATTCCATTTGTTCCAATTTTATTTACAGGTTATATATGTCCATAATTTTAATTGTGCAACACTCTGACATAAATAAATAAATAAATAAATAAATAAAAAATAAATAAATAAATAAATAAATAAATAAAAAGCAAGCAAGCAGGAACAAGGTGTTTCAATAACAGCCTTGTTCCTTTTCATGGAGCAAAATGACAGCTGAAAAGCTTCAGTGATGTAGAATATGACAGTCTATGCTTCATAAGGCTGGGATGCCACAGAGTTATTACTTCCCTGCTTTCGAATCCTGACATTCTTCCAGTATTCAAGTTTTGACCTTCAAAAGCCCAATGATTTTGTGCCAATGTACCTTAGGAATTGGCTCTGTGGTCTAATCACAGTTATAGGACCCTGCATACCCTCCATATTATGTCTGTGGGCATGATGGATTTGATGAATTTGCTGAAAGCAGGAGAAATGATATCATCTGCTGGAGTAGCAGGGTAATTGACAGATTGCCCTTGTTCTGACAAGTAAATGAGGGGCTAATGAAGCTGTCAAAAGTTGTTACTGTTTTTTAAAGTTTAATATAGAGCATGGCTGTGTACTGGGTTCAGCTGAATGCTGAAACATTTACACAATTGAAGCTCTTTGTGTGACTCTGTGGTGGCCGTGGGCTGGAAAAGACAGCCTAGCGTGGCCTGGTGTGGAGTGCCACTGTCATGGATGGTGCTGGTTAAATTCAAGGTTGGGTTTGCAATTTTTATTTTTAAAGAGAAGACATGACTACATGTGGAAAAAGTGAAGGAAACACAATCAATGCTTTGTAAAGAAGATGCTAAGATGGCCTGAGGCGATGGCAACAGAGAAGGCCACTTAAAGCTTTTCTCCCAGTGAAGTCCAAGGACATCTCTTGCATGCTGATCCACTGGTCAAATCATTGAGGCCCTGGAGACGGTCTCTGAGTGAAGTCACCAGGCAGTACATTCTCTTGCAGTCACTTTTCACAGCATTTGGCTTAGCTGTAGGCCAAAGTGAGAGAAAGTAGCACCTTCTGAAGCACTCGCTTAATAACTGGGCCCTCACTGCATTATTGAATTTTGTTTCTTCTGTTAGTTATACTGAGCAGGGGTGTATTGGTGTGTGAATGTCTGCATTTTTCTGTGGGTTTTGAGTCGTTAGGTTATCCTTTTAGAACATTAAAGTCTGTCTTTCTCTCCCCCTCTTTGACTTTCTTGTTGATGTAGTGGTGCCTCTATCCCACTGTCAACATTCATAATGTATGACAAAGAAAACAAAATCCAGTGTTACAAAATTGCAGAATTTAACATGACCTTTTTTCTCTTTCCCATTCAAGAGAATGTTGCCACTCATGATATTCAGAAACACACCTAGGACAGCACAAACAGGGACATGGATTGGATCAGAATATCCAAAAAGGTCTAATTGGATCCCAATTCATATGTTCCTGTTTGGACACGGATAGTAGGGACCAGTAAAAAGCCCTAATATATTGGAAATCCAAAAATAAGGGCTATAATTAAAGATAGGCTGGATAGTTCACTTTATTGCCTTCTTGCTTCATGTTGAATGGTAGCACTTTACAAGGTTGTTTTCATTATTTTATTATAAAAAAAACCTAAATATTAACCACTTCTGGCAGGAGTATTTTATTAAACACTCGCTGTGTTTTGTATGTTGAACCTATGTGAGTGCTACTGTGTTCAATGATGCTTATTCCCAGGTTCACTTTTAAGTACCCAGCCTCCAAGTGTTTGGAGTTCAGTTTCACATCAGATATTCTCAAAATGAAGGCAAAAGGTAGAAAAGGAGTATAACATTTAAAAGATTATTCTAAGCCTGGTAATAATGGAAGTTACTGAACAGATATTTGGAAGAAGGGCAACATCATGAAATTTCAGAAGAAATAAGAATGACAGCTTTTGCCCTTCAGGTACCAGTAATAAAGAAATAATGAGAGAGAGAGAGAGAAAGAGAGAGATTTGGAACCACCAATTTTATAAGTTTATATTTATATAAGAAAGCATTCATAAGAATGTCTTGGAATGCTAATTGTACTGTTCTTGCTACATTTTAAAAAGACTTTTAAAATTTGTCGTTCCAGATGTCTAATTTTAAGTGTGTTAAATGTGTAGTTTTAGATTTTTGACTTTATATATTTATAATTTGAAACTTCTGATTTTGGATATTTGTAATGTGGTTTTACAGACACCCAGTGTGATATAGAGATGGAGCGATGGACTAGGAGTGTGGAACTGGGGAAAAAATCTCTCCTTAAATATTTCATTTACTTTGAAAACCCTGTTATGATTACTATAAGTTGGTTCTGACTTGATGGCATATAACTAACATGGTTAAAACTTTGTTTTTTGAAATGAGAATTACTAGCTGCCTAGAGCTCTTATGAGGAAGGGCAGAACATAACTTTAAAA